AAACTATTCGATGATTCTATGATGATTCTAAAGCATACCAGAATTGCTTGTTCAGCAAGTCAACTGATATTTCAATATACTTACTTCATCACTCCTATTCATGTTCTCTTCAAAGTCTTTAATTCCCATAATTCCTTTAAGGCACATAGCCTGGCAACCAACAAAACCTATCTGGCAATCAAAGAAAAGTTCACCTTTCATAAGGACCTAGTGAGGAAAAAAAAAGTGGTATTTTGAAGAATTCTACTCCATAAGAAATAGAAAAGATGGAGCAAAGTGAACCAAAATACGTTTAGGTTTATGTATTTACAGCTTTAATAAATAGCAAGTTAATCAAACAGTGCACTTTGAAGGAAGGGATTACTTTAGAGTCTGATCACTATAGCACTAGAAATTTAGAGAATTTCTATCTACGTGATTATTACAATAAATACATATAATATAGCAGAATATAAACAATCAGTAATGAAATAATTTCAAAATATTTTATTAGTAACTATTTACTACAGTATTTATAATGAATCAAAAAAACCCTGTCAATGGAAAATTACCTCAACTGTGGTTCCTTCTTGTTCCCAGCATATAACTTCCTTGGATTTTACTTTCTGAGGGCTGTAATAACTACTTTCAGCTTGCATTTCAGTGAGCTATGAAACAATAGGATAAACACCTTATATAAGTCAATATTAGTATTAAAGAGGAGTAATGTCATTAATATACAGAACTGATGAAGACAAATTAAATTATGGGCTCAAATTTATTAACAAGGAGAAAACAGGTGCAGTTAAACAGCTGTAACGCATTATCCATATTAGAACTTCTCATATTCAACTTCTGGTTGAAGTATGCCATAACAGAAAGTTTTAAAACCACTACAGTATTTTTAGTTTGTTTATCTGAAGAGAAGCTATGTGAAAAGATGAAACAGATACATGGTTGCATTATCAACATAGTATCAAATTGGCTTATAAATTGCTGTAAAAATCCATAAATACATTACTTATTCTTCCCAGCAAATAATTAAACAGCATGATAATATTAAGGAAACATTTTGATTACAACCCTACTCATTTTTGTTTCTTGTCATGGCAATTGAAAGAAACATGCATTTATATTTCTTGCATGATTTCAATATAAAAATTTAAAGTGGTAAACCACATACACTCAGGTTAAAAAGCATATAACCTGCAGCTAAGAAAAAGAAGAGAGGCACAAAATAACGAAGGTGTTATGTTTTCCATTAAAAAAATTACTTAAGTTTGTTTATATTGAGCAGCTTAAATAGTTCAAATTCTATTTTTTATATAAAAATATCCACAAGCTCTGATTATTTTCAAGAGTGGATACACATGGATGTTGTTTCAAATCAAAATTTTGTAATCCAAATGTCCAAGAAAATTGGATTAAAAAAAATCACTGATCACCCTTCAGCTGTGTGCAATTATTGTAGAGGAAAAGCAATTAATTGATTAAAAGAACTCAGACATTACAAGAATCATTTTCACCATTATTAGAAAATGCTACATTTAATTTGGCATGATTTTTAGCTGGAATGATATCAACTGTTCAGAATGCTAATACAGAAACTTGACCTTATTTTTTAACCAAAATATGAACCACAAATTAATTCCATACATTCTTTGCAGGCAAGCAGAACAATGAATTCTGTTTTCTTCCTAACTGTCACCATATTAGTATCATACATCACTTCACATTTAAAATTTATAGAATGTAAGATGTTACATTTTAAGTAGTTTTTCATCATTCCTAGCATAAAACGCGTAAGGTTCCCAATGAAACGTTAGCACAGCCCAGTCCAGCAAATCTTGTTCAAAAAAGAAGTTCATATTATTTTTAATGAGTTTTCTCATGTGAGGAAAGAGTAAAGTATGACAAAACGCAAAATAAAGAAGATGCTGAGCCATGATAAATGAGAAATTTGAGTTTTGGTTGGTTGTTCAGGTTTTTTAAGTGGTGCCCCAGGGATATAATTTAAGGAAGAAGAAAAGATTTTCCACTATTTATTTTTGGCCCGTTTTTTTTTTTTTAAGTGAAGGCTGAAGCAGATTGACACAAAAGAACATGACTGAATGTCTGTTGATGCTTTATGTCCTCAGATTTTGCAATCAAATTTGCCAGGAGACGGAAGGCTTAAAACATCAACCTCCCCACAGAATGCCTGCAGCTCCCAAAGTCACTTGTCTCATCCTTTCTGACAGTAGCTGAGCAGCTAAATGCTCTGCTATGCCACCAAACAAAAATAGCTAAGAGAAAGTAGCCATGAAGCCACTCAAAACACTCTCTTGTGCACAGATGACAAGCCAAACGGGCAGAAAAGGGATAGGGAGCTACTGATGGTATTGAGTGTATAATCAGGCACATAAACATTATATGAGGGTTATGAAAGTACTGCAGTTCATCTGAAAGGCTCAAAGTCATAAAAATCAACTTTAGTTATTCTGCTGCTCATAGAAATAGTATTATTTCCTGTTCTGAGGAGTTCTGCCCTTGATTTAACAGATGTTTAATTGTAAAACCAAGAGCCACTTTCTATTATAGTTATGCACATAGAATTGCTTGCATATAGTTTGGCATGTGTAAAAAATATTTCGCTAATTCAGAACCTTAATTTTTAATTTGTCAGTACTTCTCAATATCTTATTCATACTCTCCATATGCCCTTCTGCAAGCTTACAAAAGAAACAGAGAGAAGCCCAGCAACTATTTTGAGATTTGTTTACAGAAAATACTCAAATCTTTCTCCACATACATAGTGTATAGCTCAGAGTGTATGTGTAACTTATCCTTTGTTTCTTTAATTCAATTCCAACCCATGGAAAATAATTTCAACATTATCAATTTAAATTCATATTTGCACATATTATAGTTTAAAAAAAAGAAAACACTCCTCCAATTCATAAACTATATGAAGCTAAAGCTTTTTTATAAAGAAGTGTATTTATATAAACATTAAATGGCTAGAACACTGCAATAAACATACACAGAAAGCCTTTTAAGCTTTTTCTCCCATCAAAACATATTAATCTAAGTAAATCAAGTGGTTTCCCTTTAAAATTAAAATGTTCGTACTCAAATTCTACGTCAAACAGCAAAACCACCTCACATTGCAATTAACAACACATTATGATGCGAGAGGAACTTTGAACATTTACATTTTTTGTTATTCGTTAATGTAATATTCCCTGTCTCGAATCAAACAGTAGACAAGCACTCAGATAATCTTCACACACCTCCTCAACACGCCAAATAAATTCTATATGACACAGAGAAATACTTACCTTAAAAGTCACTGTTGCCTTTGTACAGTAAAACCCAATTGAAATAATAGGATCCTTGAGGGATTGAGATTTCTGCTGATGTAGCGCCGTTCCATCATCCATTCCACTAGAATCATTCTCTTCATCATCGTAACTCACAATAGCAGGAACAAAAGACCAAGCCCAAGAAACCCATCCTTGTTGCTGGTCATCGTCTTGATGCGTATAAGGATCTTGATTAATATACTGTGTTGGATATTGCATTACTGAGCTTGTTTCATCTTCTGTGCCTTTTAAAACAAAAACTAAGTGAAATTTCAAATCAACCATGCTTAAAAATTAATTTATTATATTCAAAATTACAGTATATGAAATTTATCTAGGACAGTATCTAGGACTCCCGGTAAAGTTCCCACTGACTGGAAAAGGGGAAACATAACCCCCATTTTTAAAAAATTGCAAAAGCCATAATAAGGAAAATGTAAACACAACACAGATCCAAAAATTAAGGTTGAAAACCTCCTTTGTTTAAAAGTCAGCTTTTCAAGTATTCAAAGATACAGGTTTATCTACACTCAGAAAAGCTGGTATGCCACCTGTGAGTCAAAAAACCGAATGTTGGTCTTGTGTGAAAAAAATATTAGCAATAGCATACAGAACAAAACAAGGATTTCCCCAAAAATACAAGTCTAAGATTCATGATCCATATGGGTAACACTGTGCATGTACAAACAGCACAATTAGCTTAGCCTACCTGGCTTCATCACCACTCTTATGGGACTCCTGAGGGAGTATTAACTGATTCAGAATTACCATAGGTAGTACAGGATGCAGAACTGTTCCCACAGGGGAACAATATTGAATGTATTATTTAACTGAGAATGCAAATAGGCATATTCCATTTCTATTTACTTATTTTTAAACTCAGAGGACCCACTCTTACAAGTTTTAGGGCTTTTAGTCTTCAGTGTAATTAGTCTTTTAGTCTAATTATTTATACACTCGCGCGACAGGAGAAAGCATAAAAAAACCACTCCTGAGAATTCTCTGCACATGCTTGGAGGCAAGGACACCTCCTCCCACAAGGGCAATGCAAGCTTCCTTCCTGCTCTCTTTACAAAACAGTGTCAGACATCAGATTTCAATCCAAATGTAAATCTTGAAACACAGGAAATACAGAAGAAGTGCACATAAAGTCTTGGAAATGGCCAAGAGACAGAACTGTCAGATGCAGAAGGAAAAACAATTGATATGGAGCATGACTCGAGTAGCTTAGCCTAGACTGTTTTGGCAAGCACAGAAAAAATGGTGGAAGATCTGCCAAAAGAGAAGAAAATCTGGAGGTGTAGGACCTGGGTCATGCATAACATTTGGTCTACATAGCCATAAAATTCAGCCATCATTTAGCATACCTCTTTGCTGCAGTATGTGTACACAGAGAGACAACAGTAAAAGATGCCAAATAATAGTTTGGTTTATAATACTTATGAATATTTTGGAAGCCATTAAAATAAGACAGAACAGCAGCTAGACGAAAATGGTGGTATCTACACACTGTGAGACAGAAGATAGAAAAAGAGAGGAAGATACACCTATCTTCTATCACTAAATTATAACTACTACAACCATTATGTAATCAACAGTCAAACTTTGGAACAAATGCACATCAGCCTAGTGCAACCCACAACATCCTCTAAACACTTCAAAGCATAAATATAATGTAAATTCCTTTATAACAAGTAATGCATGAAGGGGAGTATGTACTTTGGAAACACAAAGCCTCTTTAGTTTTAATTAACTATGCTAACCACTGCATCAACTGCAAACATATAGGATAGTGAAATACAATGATAAAACCCCTATGTTTTACATACATGAGTTTGTTAAAGGACAAAATGCTCCTACTCATCATGTTTCTAAATCCACTCTTGCTAGCTAGCCATAGCTGAGATCACACTGGAACAATCTTGCTTCATAGTGTAGGGCAGTGATTCCAGTTAAGAAACACATTTTATATAAATTACAAGATTGCAGTGTAACTGCATCTCACTGTTTCCATGTTCAAATCAAGTTTAATCTTCAGAAATCCACTATCCTTTCTTTTAAAGGGTTTGAGATACTTATCTCTAAGAGTCTGGAAACTGGTATCTCTCACCATAAGTCTGGAACTAACCCAGTAGAAAATTACTCTCTTCGTATTTATTTACTTTTCTTCCTGTATTAGTTTTCAGCCAGGTAAGGCTGATCCAGTTTAGCCTGTGGCTACATAAATACAAGTGCTGGCACTAGGGGAAGAGGGAGGGAATGCATCACCATCCCTGCTGGCAATAACATAAATTTTCATCTGATTGAATCAACCATGAAACTGCATAAATGAAACTTGGTAAGTACTTCAAGAACACAGCTTAGATGTTCATTCTTTTATCACCAAATAATGTAGATATTAAAATTCATTTCCTCATCCATATTTTACCTGCTATAAGCTAAAGAAGCTACTGCAAAGTCACATCTAAGACGACATTAATTATGAATACAAAACTTACGGAATAAATCATGTTAAAAAAAGGAGAGATTTGCAAGGAACAAAAGTTATCTGGCTGATAACAACAGTTTTGGTGCTGACCTTGAGAATGCAATAGCCCTTAAATTCATCCTTGCAGCATGAACTGTCCTTGGAGAACCTCAAATGTAATAACACACATGCTTTCAAAGTAATAAATATTTTCTGTATCACTTTCCTTTGCATGTATTTATTATATAAGGAATGTACAGAAATTACTAACATACAGGAAAAAAAAAACAAGTTCAATGGTTTTAAGAGTTCCGCCCAATATATTTATACTATTCCATGGCTGTGTTGCCCAACTGAATTTTATTCAGTTCATTTTGGATGTTCATTTTGGATCTATACCATAGAAAGACAATAAATTGACTGCCACAAGATAACTCATAATATTTACTATGCTAGTAGCTTAAATTTTTTATGTTTAACTAGTTTTATTTCACAGTACATATTAAAAAACAGTGGCTCATGATCTATTTCACATGCATTACACTAGCACAGCAATATTGATGAAGGTGATTGCACAAAACTGGAAATGATACCAACACTAGCAGAAACTAAAATCCTACGTACCAAACTCTAGTCTGAAAGGTATTCCACATCTCCTTTTAAAAGCAAATGTACCCCCAACACTTTCTAGTTGAAAATCTGATGCCATCATAATTGTAGCATGAATACAATATTACAACAAAGTCGCACACTCAAGTGACAGTACTTTTAAGAGGTATCACACTTATTTTGTACAAGACAACCCACTACGGTGATTCAGGTAGCCAGGAATCAGTACTGCAAAACAGTAAGACTTAAAGATTTCTTCTTCTTTCTGCATCGAGAATATCATCTTCCTTAAACTCAAACCTCTGGATCCTACTAGACCAGAATATGCTCCCACCTTACAGACAAACATAAATCAAGGGAAGAAATCGTAACTCCCTTTTACTGCCGAGTTGCACAGTCCACTGGATATGGAATGTGACTGTAACATACAAAAGTTTCCAGTTCAATTCTAGAGAATCCACTTTTTCATAGTATGTACCTCCATCTTTTAAACAAACTTCCCCAAGCTTCTACTCCTAGTCTACTTGTCTTGTCTTACTGTAAATTGAAACTACCCCAGTGAAGAATTGATGGATAAGGAAGGAGAGAATGAATCACCTTCCAAATTAGTTAAGAAAATTCCAAATAAAGAATGATGCCACAACAATCCTGAAGTGCTGAAATAACACCAATAATTATTCTAAGGTGCTCCCCATGATAGTAGTTGGGGTTGCTAATCAATTATTTTAAAATTCTGATTATTTAAACAATATCCCAACCTCAATAAAATTAGGAGCAGACCTATGAGTTAGTTAAGGGTGAGCTACAAAACAAGTGGCAGTGATTTCAAAACACCAGAACCAGGATAAGAGGTAAGAGATCTATTTTCTATTTGCATGGCAAAGGAGACTAACTAATGTGAAACATCACAACAAAAGGGCAAGTGGCTCTGGGCTGAGGTACAAATTACAAGGACAACTAATCTCAAAGTGGTATGTAAGTGCAGATACCCAACAGGGAGAGGAAGGCGTTAGTCATCTGACAATGCCAGTCCAAAAAGTGTTTTTGTTTCATATCCCGCATACAAGTTCAAGCAGATCAATTGGAAATACACTTTGCTCACTGGATGCATTAAAAAAATTGCTTGCATTCTGCCATCTACATTAAGCCACTCTTAAAATCAGAAGCAGAAAAACTGGCCTGATATTTAAGTTTTATGTAATAAGTAAAAACAAAAGGTCAACCTGTGACTCATGCCTTTCAAAGATTTCATCAGATTTTTTGGGGTCTCTACTTAATGAGTACTAATGTTTTTCAAGAAAAAAGAAGACGGCAAGACAACATAAAATAGATGTTTAAAAAGCATTCATAAAAGTCTAGTTCTCCACAAAAAGGTTATAGTTCCTAAAACAATAAAAATATTTAATATAAACAAATTTAATCTCCCCAACTTAGGAACTTTACAATTTGGGAAGATTTAATCTTTACTCATTTTTTTAATTTGCTACTCATTTGAACTGCTGCTCATTTAACTGATGTTAAGAGATGTAAGCAATTCTACGTGCCTAAACATGCATCCCAAATTAATGAAATCTGGCCATCTCCATACAGTAAGCTTGATACCCATCCTCAGTATATGGGATCTCAGTAACCAGTTACAATGCACTATTATAGATGCCTACAACAAAGTTACTCACTGTCACACTGGCTGTTAGACAGCTGCACAATGCACTGACCCCACCAGCCGCGTTCCGCAGTTGTCTCTATATGCTGCACCTTTACAGTCTGTTGAAATATGAATTGCAAGTATACCTACTGTTTCTCGGAAGGATACCAAAGTATATAGGCAAGGAAGAAGCTCCAATAATGGAGCTAGATGACTGGAAGGAAAAAAAAAGACTGTGGGGTTTACTGCACAGGTCATTTACCCACAAAACAGATGAAAACATGAAGAGCTGAAATAATATTATGTATCCTGGTACAAAGATCATATGTATATCTCCATCTCTTTAACCCTCAAGAGAAGACAGACAAAAAGTGCAGGGACAAGAAAAATATACAGGAAAGTGTAATTTGGCACACACAACCTTTTATCCTGACATCATTTCAGTCAAAGTGGGGATCATTTTCTCCACTGTTTAGGAACAACTCTCCTCTACCCAAACTCTTTAACACAGTGCACAGCTGCTT